GTAAACTCCAAGTATCGAGACAAGGCTGAAGGGCAGAGGCTAGGGAACTTCGCAAGACTAGTGTCAACGAGCTTCTTATCAAGATAGCCGAAAGTGAAGGACTTCGGGTCATGCAAGAGCGTACGACCAAGGAATGAAGCAGGCAGTACGTGGTGTTATACCTTTGCTACTCAGTGGAGTAGGCGGCCGGGTTGATGGAGAAGATGATACAATCCCAGAGGCGACCAAAACTATTAAAAACTTACTCCAAGTTGGGGTGAAAACTTCCTGTATTCCATAAGTTCGATGGCATTGAGAAGGTGAATCACAGTAGCTAACTCAATGCACGGAGTGCAAACACTTCGAGTGCTTCAGAAGTGTGAGTAAAGAGCAGGCGAAGAGTAGTAACCAGCTCGATGTATGGAGTACAACCCTCAAGGAGGCGGGCGAAGTCAAGTAACCTTTGCCTTATCAACTCTTAAGGGAATGGGCGAAACCGAGTACTCTAATTCTCTTCTCTATCCAGCAGAGGAGCTCTGCACATATTCAAAGACCCTTCGAAGAAACCGAATGGAAGGTAATAGTTGTCAAATACTCACCAACGGTGATCAGTGCTATTGAGAGTAGATCGTCCACTTCATTTCCCAATGAAATACCAATCGAAAGTGGAAGTGATACGAACCTACTTGAAAGTGACAACTAAGTGAAATGAGAGTCGATGGACAAATTTTGTGGAGGAAGGACTCAAAAACTTCAAAAGTTTATGAGGCAATGCTCGTTAAAGCTCGAACATACATCCACCCAGTTCAAACCTCATGAGGCATTTGATAGACTAGCACATATTAAGGATGGTCTTGTCCTTCAACTGAAATATCCGCAGGAACCAACAGGGATCAACACAACTCAGCCAACCCCACACTAGAGTCAGAGTCACAGTCGAGTTAAAGCAGCATGGCGGATCAAAAGTTCGACTACTCAACAACAGCGGTGGAGAGCAGTTGGGAGCCAAGAGGTGCATTGCAGTTAAAGTAGAAGATTGAAGACTCGACAAAGGTAAGGAGTTGCAGCATCAGCAAAGGCTTCGACGAGGACGTCAAAGGAATAAGTGGGGGAGATTGTCATAGACAAAATTGTAAATAGAGTGTTCAATGTAATGTTTATGTATGTCC